ATCATTATCATATGTAATAGGACTCCATGCTGTCCAATTAAGAAATAATTGGACGAGGAAAATTCTGAGGACTGACAAAATTGGATGAGGCCGTAGGACGAGTCCAATTTGGCAGTCAGAGGAATTTTTCGAGTCTAATTATTCCTTGATTGGGGAGCATGAAATCCCATTACCTTTTAATTATATAGCTGCCTAATTAATCCCATATCAACAAGACCTGTCCAATTAAGAAAATAATTGGACAGTTACCTATATGGGATTAATGAGAAGCTGTATACAGTATTTATTATTATTATTATTATTATTATTATTATTATCCAAATGAAGGGAGTCTTACTGGCTGCCTTTCAATGCCACTAAAATCAGTTGACCATCAGTTGACTAAAAACACTTTTCTTTGATTTAGCATATAATTCATGGTAACATAATAATTTTAAATATTATTATTATTATATATATATTTTTTGATGTTCTATACATATTTTACTCTATTTTGCAAATTGTAACGCATTGAGATTTTGAGATGCGTGTCGAAAAATGAATATCATTATTATTATTATTATCCCGAATGAAGGCAGTCTTACTAGCTGCCTTTCTACGGTACTAAAAAAATAAAACCCTGAATTATTTTACTTCATTTCCTTGTCGGCTATTTTGTGCCTGCCCTTGATTAGAAAATTGTCAGCTTTTTTGGTTTGGTTTGGTTTGGTCTTTTTGGGGGAGAGGGGGAAAAGATCAGTTAATATTGAGAGAGAGAGTAATATTCATTTGGTATTCAGGGGCGGGTCCAGGGGTGGTAAAAGGGGTAACTAGTTACCCCCCTTTTGCTCAAATTTCTCAGCGAATTGTTAGTAACAGTCACCCCCTTTTCTTCCAATTCCTGGCAAAACCTTTGTAATATACACCCCCTTCTATAATATCTGGATTTGCCCCTGGTATCTTATACACAAGCAGTACATTGAAAAGTTTGACTATAACAAAATAATATTATAAATGGTTATAATTGTGGTTATACCTGATATGTCTTATTTTGTATTCTTTCTTTTCTAAGGTGTGTTGTTTCGTAAATATATTAAGCAATTATTCTTTGTGCTTTTCATTAATCCCTAGGCTTTTATTCATTCAACCACAGGGAGCTCAATTTAGATTAAAGTGAATGGTGAAAATCAAATCGGAAAAATTAAATAATTAATATTTTTAAAAATTCGAGATCAAGATAATGTCCTCTGTAATGCGAAAGAGCAAAAAAAATCAATAAAAAAATGCACTAGAACATTTTTTTCGCACACGCGCTTTGTTTTTCTATACTGAATTTCACTAGGACTTCCCTATAGTATCTGATGTTGATCTTATGTATAATAAGTAAGATCAACATCAGATACCATAGGAAAATCATATAGGAAAACAAAGGCGCATGCGGAAAAAGGTGTTCTAGTGCATTTTTTATTGATTTTTTTGCTCTTTTGCATTACGGAAGACGTTATCTTGATCTCGAACTTTAATCTAAACTGGGCACCCTGTGGTCTCACGCTGCTTATAAAATCGCGGGCTCAGAAGAGCGATCGCCGTTTGCCCCATCATTCCTTGCGCACGTTCTCTTTCGGCCGCCATCATGGTGAGTGTAAGGATTTATAAGATTGACTTTAAAAATCCTTTTCCATCGGCCTCAATATTCGTACTTTGATACTATTTTGATTCCAAAAATTAAGTTTAGTTATTAYTTAATCATGTTAACTAATAATTTGGGTTCATCGTTAAAGGAAACGATACTTTTGACATCAAGATTTGAGATCAACTTTGCTATCAATGGAATAAAATTACAATCAATAGCATTTTAATCTTGTTGTGTTGTGCTTTGTCGTGACTTGTTTGAGCTATCATAGATTTACGTTATGGTTTATTATAAAACTAAACTTGTGGTGTATTTCTGTTCTTTCAAAGGCACTCGTTATTCCAGAAAAGTTTCAGCATATTCTTCGTGTGCTCAACACTAACATTGATGGAAAGCAAAAAATTATGTTTGCCATGACGGCAATCAAGGTAAGACGGTCACTTTATTATCACTGCCGTAAAAACTTCATTTCTATTGTCTATGTTGTCCATCACCAAAATGATGGCTACTCAAGATTACAGGCAGATGCAGATTTTATCTTCTCGTGTTGAGAATATCTTACTCATTCGTTGTGCTCACTTGTAAGATATGACCTCAACACTTAAAGATAAAACTGTATCTCCATGCAGCTATGTAATATATCAATGATATAATCTATTTGAACAATTGTATATTTATGTATGATTTTCACTCAAACACTCTGCCATCAGCTTTTCATGACTTCTTCATACCTATAAGTAAAATACATGCCTACAGAACACGATTAGCTTCAAAAGACTCTTTCTATATTTATATGGCAAATTTAATATATGTTACGTCGGTGCCATTACTTGGAACAAGATCGAAGATGAATTAAAGAGAACTAAGCGTTTAGGTTTTAAAAAACTAATAATAGATCAAATTTTAAAAACTTATGAGTTACTCTGATGCACTTTACTCTTTGCCCATGGTTTCTATTCTAATATCCTTTATGTATTGAATGTATAAATTGTTTAAGCTTATTTTGGTCTATGAGGAGTTATTGGTATCATTATTTTACAGAGCTACGCCATCTTGCTTTCTAGAATAAAATAACGAATGATCATCAGGCAATGTCTAGCCAAAATTGGAACTTGTTCTGGTCAAATGTTTGCCTTCAAGTCCATCTCTCCAAGTCATTTTGACTAGTATTTTTCAACCAGATGATAGAGCTAAAATTTATTGGGCCCTTCTCAGCATGAATGGCAGCTCTCCAGTCTTACTTTTAAGCCCTAATGACTTATTCTATATCAAGAACTAGACTTATTATTACGTCTTGACTTATGTAACTGATGTTTTCTTTAATATTCAAGGGTGTTGGTCGGCGATATGCCAATCTTGTTTGCAAGAAGGCAGATATAGATATGAACAAACGTGCTGGTGAGCTGACTGAGGATGAGGTGGAGAGAGTTGTCACCATTATGCAAAATCCTCGTCAGTACAAGATTCCTGATTGGTTCCTCAACAGAAGAAAGGATCACAAGGATGGAAAGTTCTCTCAGGTAAGAGGTGAAAGCTTGTTAGTAATAAAGTGTAATGTCATCTTATAATACCCTTCACAAAATTACAAGATTCTGATTGGACAAGAGAAATACAATTAAACGCCAAATTGTACTATGTAGAGTCCCAATAGACCTTATTGGTAGTGTGACAATGTTTTCCCAATTCAGCGTGACAAACCTCTAGGGGATTCATTTTCCTTAGTTTTCACTCTTTGAAAAATTCATGAGTATCCCAAAGGATACGAAAGGAATAACCATGATATCCCGACGAGTTTCAAAACAATAGCTCTTCATTCCCCCAGAGGTTTGTCACTCTGAATTTGGAAAACATTGTCACACCACGAATAAGGTCTAAAGTTGATCAATTTTGTTGAGTGTAATCTCGTACAATATAGAATCTAAAGATCCTTGTGATGTTTTGAAAGTTCTGTAATAGGACTTGGCAAAAGGCTCGTCCAATTTTGTAAACTTTCAAAATATCACTTGTACCTATAAATACCAAATTGTACTGAGATTGTGCAATATCCTATACAAATTCCAGATTTTGCAATTCAGTTTTGAAATGTTCATATTTGAAAACATTGCCTACATATCTGTAACCAAACTCAGGGATACTAGTTGCACTTTCCAGAGATTGGGTTGCCTGTGCTTTTCTTATGCTTCTTGATATCCCAAGGATTTAAAGTAGTTCACTAGTTCGCTTGATTTATTTGCTCAATCTAACTTGTAACATGATTGTCCTTATCTTTTCCTTTCAATTTCCACTTCATTTAGTCTTTCGAGATTTTGTTGAGTTTTTTAGGATAACCTGAAATGACTTGCTTTTTTGAACGAAAGCCAATTGAAGATTTTGCAAAGACATTTGCTTTGCTTGTAGTTTCCCTGTAATGAATCAGGCTTTTTTAATGTTCCTGAAAAGTGCCTTTTGCCATGGATATTTCAACCTATGAGTCTTCAAAAGGAACTAAAAGAAAAGCATTATTAAATCAAGTAATGTAAGCAGTAAAACTCAGCTGACAAATTTAACTAAACTTGTTTACCATACGATTGTATGAAGTTATTTCAAAAATGAACTTTTAACTTATTGAAAGTCTAGTATAGACGTAGCTCAGTTGGTAAGAGTGTTGGTCTGTTGTGGCGGAGGCCTTTGTAATAATATCAACAACATTCCAATCCCTAATATAAATATGGTTTCGAGCCTTGTATCTTACATTTAAGGCAGAGATTTTATACCACACCGATCAAAGTCATCGAATAACTGAATCTGGAATTCCAAACTCCAATCCCAGTTGCGCTCCAGATTTTGGCATACATAATTAGATTGTTGCGACATTAGCCTCAATAAATGTGTACATTCACACAGACATTTTATAGCCTTTAAAATCAAAATGCTTCATTTAAGACACAAATACAGGCTAATCTTTGCTCAGGATTTCTCTCAGAATTGCTTGATTCTTCATAGTTCCCTTGGTTAATCTATGGTTTGAAATTAATAGACATTTTCTAAAAGAAAAAAATTTCATTTACCAGTGAGCTAGAAGTTGAAATACAATTGATCTCAAGCAGAGGTTAAAAATTCGCGCATTTTAGGAATTTATTTTCATCATTTCATTAGTCTTAATAACAAAATCAAAACTCAAATAAACTTATATGTACCTGGTATTCATTTGTAGTAGCTTTCAGAGCAAAAATACCTTTTAAAAATAGCAGATATAGAATTATAGATAAGTTATAGTGCTGGAGAACGAGGTTATTCCGGGCAAAAGACCCTTGGAAATAAATTCGGAAAAATTAATTTCCGACCTCGGTCATATTCTCATCTTTAAAAAATAGCATCAAGTGATCAGAATCTGGTCAGCTTGCAAAATAACTTAAAAGTCAAAGCCATTGATCAGGGGCGTAGTTCTTTATAACACAACTAGTTTATCTCTTAGAGCTAATCTTTGATTACAGAAAATACTGCTTTGAAATTCTGAATAAAAGCATGAATAGTTACCAAAATAATCTATTGCCCTTGAAGTTTGAAGATTCCTAGAAATCCTGGCCTAGAAGTCTTTAACATCTTGCTTCAAAATCCTTGTTTATGATTCCCATTTTAAATTAATATTCTAGTTCGGCTGTCCTGAATTACAGCAGTCAATGACATAAATCTAATAATATAGACATAAGTATAGACATAAAATAGACATAAATTTCTGTCACATGATCTGCTAGCTCCGCCTTTTCATAATCACTTGACAACATAGTGAAAAGTGATTTTTTAAAAAATCCAGAACTTGTTTTTCAGAAGACTTAGCAAATAGAAGTCTGTCAAAATTGTCTTTTGTAATTGAAGTAACTCCAGACAATTACTTCATCACAGAATTTGCTTCCAAACTCAGCAAAATAACAAAGAACTAAACGAAGTAGGCGTTAAAAGGAAACTTAAAAGATGACTAATCATCTTACCAGCTAAATTGAGTATTTAAAATATGAAATTGAGCGAAATACTTTGAATCCTTCGAATGTCAACAAGCATGAGGACACAGGGAGCCCAATCTCTGAAAAGTGCAACTATTATCCACCAGTTCACCAAAAAGTGGTTTGATTGCTCAATTGCTCAGAAATTCCCTTCTATTTCGTATTTGCACATGCATGTCCTATTGTCACCAAAAAAGATAACTTTGGGACATCATCACTTTGGTATTCTAATACTGTCAAAGATTTGTCGTTAACTCATGAGACTACTTATACCTGTGGCAATAGACCCCCCTCCTCTGGTTGATTTTTGCGTTGATCTAAATGCATAAAGTGATGTACATAATTGATAGACGGTGGTGCAACTCTCAATTTTAAGATGGCTTATCAGTCAACCTGTTTTGATAAGTTGGGCCGTCAGGTTGAAGCTGGAATGCTTTGTTTTTGTTCTTAATTGTGATTGGCTTAAATTGATTTTTTTAGAAGTATCCACATTGTTTTTTATCTTTTCTTAGTTACTGTCAAACTCCCTTGATAAYAAGCTTCGTGAAGATCTTGAGAGACTAAAGAAGATCAGAGCTCATCGTGGCTTGAGACATTACTGGGGGTAAGCAAACTTAGAAACTGTTGCTTGTGTCGTGCAGTCTTTCTATGAATTAGCCTTTACATACCACCATATCTTGGATTACAAAAAAAATAAATTCAAACTTTTGTTTTATTTTGCTTTCATTCAAAAATTTGTTTTATTACTGGTAATTCATTTTGAAAATAACTAGCAAATCCCACAATATGATTGGCTCCCTGCAGTGCTCATTTCAAAACAAAATCATCACTCATGACTTCAGACCAAGTTACACTCCATCAGTTCAATTACCATTATTTCTTGCACTGTTTAGGGTATATATAAAATGGTACATGTTTTATCAATCCTAAACACGTAATAATTTTTTTAAGCATCAAGGCGTGGACTTCCTCATTCACTATACGATGTGCAAAATGTTTGAATGAATATGATAACAAGCTCTAACAAGTCAAGGCTTTGAACTTGAAATGTTTTATGCTTGACTACTCAACAGAATATCAAAAGTTGGTTATTCAGACTGTTAATTTATGAAAATAATCATATTCCCAAACATTATTAGTGGAGACAATTGGAATAACACAGATTTTGTTGTCATTGTTTATAGTCTAAGAGTGCGTGGTCAACATACCAAGACAACAGGCCGTAAAGGACGCACTGTAGGTGTGGCCAAGAAGAAGGGAGGCTAAAATTAATTGTTCTAATAATAAAGCCAAGCATATCTGAATCATGTGTTGTTTCTTGTATACCTTGGGGGACCATTACTATTCATTGCCACAACCTTTATAAAACTAGCACATTTGATTTATCAGGAAAAATAGTTTTTTTATCAAATTTGTCACATTGATATTGTAAAGTTTTGACAAGATTGTCCTAAAGCTAATGACTGAGTTTTTGAAACTAAGTATTTTTTGTGGAATATTTACAAAGAAATGTGTCCAGCCTGATAACAAGCATGCAAAAATGTTTAGCTTCAAAAAAATCAGTTCATCAGTTCAGGGAAATCTTTTTGAAACCTTGTTGTTTTGCTACATGTATTATCAATGTAAAAAGTTTGATAGCTAGCAAACTGCTTTTCCTTATGTATCAAATATTTTGTCACGTTAATGTGATAAAATAGAGATTACTTCATGGAAAGTGTGAGATTACTTCATGGAAATGGAATCATAAAATGAACTAGTGTCTCTCTGAGTAAGTGAGGTTTATGATACTAAACGACAAGTGGTTAAAGCAATTTCCATGGTGTTTTCTGTTTAAAACAGTATTTCAAGTGTGTCGTAGTAGATAATTTTATCACAGTAGGTACGAAAGATAGTAGACTGACGTTTCGGACGTTAGTCCTTCGTTGGAGTCAGTCATTCATATGGCCAATCAATCATTGACTCCAACGAATGACTAACGTCTGAAACATCAGTGTACTATCTTTCGTACCTACTGTGATAAAATTATCTACTACGACACATATTTTGATTCAACTAAAAAACACTGACACAGTCCAAACTAGTTCCATAACTAGTCCTCATCAAGAACAGCATTTCAGTTTAGAAATTAGAACTAAAAACCATTCAAAGGTAATTTTTATTTCATGGGTTAAATCCCTTCACTCTAACAAAAAAACTTATCTGAATAATGTTGCAACATTCAAATAATTTGAATGAAATTATTATGAAATTATGAGCTTTTCAACTTCTAGGCTTTATCTGGCACAGAATTAGGTTTAGTCTACACAGGAAAGGATTGAGAAAGTACCCGGAAGTTTTCTTCAGTAAACTCACCTTCAAAGAACAACAGCCTTGTTATTAATTTCCTTTTAGTATTTTAGGAACTTTTCCTTTGCTTTGCTAGTTGTATTTCATCTTTGCTTTTGTCATTTAAAATAAGTTTCATTTGTTTTAAACTCGAACTATACGTTAGCTGAAAGTCTTTCACAAAACAACAAAATGCTGCTGGCTTCTGATTGGGCATATCGTTATTCTGWCGTGGAGAAAAGCTGTATGTGTATCATTTTTTGTTTTTTACATGTGAAAAAGTGATACGCACATTTGTGATTATACTCGGGAACAGTGAACAAACAAAAATATATTAAAAACAGAATTTTAGTGAGTAGCTCCTGGTATGTATATAATAAGCAATTATTGGATGAGGTTGAGCATAATATCGTAAATTATCAAGACCGAGGCTGTGTTATCTGCTGAAGCCGAAGGCTGAAAAAAAATTATGAACTCTAATTGTAGAGACAAGAATTATGAACGCCATGATGTCATGTGAAAAATGCAAAATTCTTAATTCAGAAATGTTTCCAGAATTCTTCATAAAATATATGAAAATTAAGGATTCCTTAAATAACTGTTTTAGTACATAATTCCGGAAATAAATACAAATAATGAATAAAAACAAAGCTACCACAGCGTGACCTTGAATGAACTTGACATGATAAATGTATTATCTGTAGGTTTTCCTGTTGAATTGACATGATATCAGGGATTGGCTGAGGGCTCTCGACCAATCAGAATTGAGATACTTAGTAAAATGTGTTTATGTTTCAATTTCTATTTAGAAAAAGTGATTTCTTTTGTATAATTTTCATGTGAGCCTCACATCCACATTTTACATCTAACATTTTTTATTTCACGGGTTAGGGCAAACTTCAAACTTTCCATGCACTGAACTTAATTACATCTAAGCATGCTGCCTCATTATCACCTGATATCCATTGTTTTTAATGAGTTCGGTGCACGGAAAGTTCGACGTTTGCCCTAGGCCTTAGATGCCTTCCCTCTATTCAAAGTCATTTTAATATGCTAGGAATTTGTATATATGTAAATGAAGTGGCCCCTCTGTTCCACTTTGTACAAATTGATGTAAAGAGTACAGTCGGAGCAGAAAGCAKAACTTAATGCTACATATCCCACTCTGGTTTACCTTGGCCTTGTTCCTGGTGAGAGAAGAAATACCCCCTTACCCTCATTCATATCAATATATAGTGCAGAATGCTATACTATTACTACTAGAAACTGTTTCATAGTCCAAGGAAAATCTGTGTTAATCTGACTGTCATACAGATACTTTGTTTCACAGGTTAATAAATGCACTTGTAATATTTACAAAATGACTTGCTCAATGCTGATCTTGTCATAGATATTGGTAGATACTTACTTGTCAATAGTTTTTAAGCTACTTATTACCATAGCAACAATATCAATTTATGTCAAAGTCTAGTCTGACAATGTGTGGTTCCAGAAAATATCCATGCACCACCATGGAGGAAATCAGATATTCCCAGGGGTTGGGGGTGGGGGTCAGACAATAGAGAGTTTTAGATTGACTTTTCTCCCTGCAAACGGCGAAGGGACCACGTTTTCATAGTTTTCCTGTATTTTACTTTTTACCTTTTACAAACCTTCTCACCAAGCGCAAATACCCTTTTGTTTTTATACTACTTGGACTTTTTTGCGATTCTTTTTCAGTAATTCAAAAGAATTTTTTACTGGTCAACTGACGTTTCACGTTTGCCGTGAACATAAATCTAAAACTCTCTAATATACAAAATTATATGGTTTGTATTGCCCTATAACACTATGACATCACATCAAAACAATCTATTGTTTTAACGGCTAAGGATCATGGTCGCCATGGGGGCAAAATAGCAGCAAAACGAATTAAATCACAATAAAAAATGGTTAATTAGACAGGGAAAGGTGATGGCAGATAAATGTTGTACTAAATATCCCAAACGAAAGAAAATTTTGCCTAAATTCCTATCATTCTTGCCCATGTAAACAAGCTGTGACGTCATAACGTTATAGGTCAATTAAAGAATATGGAAATTCCAGAGGGGTTGGGGAACCTTTTTTCAAATTTCCTCTATAACTACATGGTGGGTATGGAAAGTTTTTCAACATCAAGTACTGCAATTTTTCGTGTAGATCAAGCTGGAAGAAAATGTATTGGATTTACTGGGACAATAGCTGCTAAAGGTTGGCCTGGTTGAGCACCCAGTTGGCTCAGTTGCAGGAGGTTGTGGTTTTAAGCCTAGCTTGGTGGCTGGACAGACACTCGGGGGGGGGGGGGGGTTNCCCAGTTGGCTCAGTTGCAGGAGGTTGTGGTTTTGAGCCGAGCGGGGGGGGGGGGGGGGGGGGGGGGGGGGGGGGGGGGTTCTAAAATAACTGAGGAGAAAGTGCTGCCTTCGTAATCACATCTGTGAACGGTTAGACTTTTAAGTTGCTCAGATGACCAGGGAGGGAAAAACAACCACTGAGGATGTAAAGCAGGGCTGTCAACTCTCCAGGATAAACCGGGAGTCTCCAGATTTTGGACCGTATCTCCCGGTCTCCAGATTAGAGTTTCAAATCTCCCTGATAATCGCCGAAGCTGACCAAAAGCTGTTGTGGTGTCCCTGCCCTCATGGGAAAAAGCTATTAAATTAAAAGTAAGACCTTGATAATTGTGACATTAAAGTCACAATACCATCACAAGAAATTCGTTTACATATAGTACATTTTATTTAGTTCAAGTGAGGCATCAAGCAGCTTTACAAATTGTACTAAGCCACCAAACAAATCGTTCAACCTCAAACAAGAAAATAGTAAACAAGATAAGAACTATAAAGAAACCCAAATCTAGATATGAATACAAAATTATAGATAATTCTTGTTTCCTGCAAATCTATATAGCACAGTTTAGTAACCCATGAAACAAAAGGAAGACATTCTACTTTGACAACAACTGCTTAAAGTGTATATCAAGGATTTTTCTTTTCTTTCAAAATCATTTATATGTGAATAGTGTAGTAGTATGGCTGCAGTATTTTTGTATGTAACATTTTCATTTAGGAGATATAAACATTTGAAAAATCAATATGCAAATGAGATGACGTAAAATCATTTGCAAATCGTCCTTATAACTGAAATATATGGCTTTGTACCCTTTTAGGTTATTTCACTTCAGCACCGTTGCCGTAAATTAGACTGCAAAATGTAACCCATTCTTGAATTTACGTCATCTCATTTGCATATTGATATTTCAAATGTTCATATCTCTGTAAAGAGAGGTCCACATACAAAAATACTTCAACCATGCTACTACACTGTTCACATATAAGTGATTTTGAAAATAAAATTTTTTCATTGATATACACTTTAATGAAATAAAAAGTCTCATGGCCCTGAATCTACTGCTTTGTCCTTTATGAGATATTTTCTGCCTGTATATAGTTCTTGGTAGTTTTGTGGTGAATAAGAACTAACCATCTTGATTTTATTTCATAGGCTTGTGGACTGACTTCTTGAAGCTCACATAATCCTTACTTTATTGTTAATATTTAAATTTACCCTCCCACAAGCCATTAATATCTTTCTTAAAACAAAACACAAATATATTCTGATAAATTAAGCAATATATATATTATTTTAGCTAAAAATGTCTCTAAAAATGTGCACATAATGCCACATACAACTACAACCTAATGCACAGATTTTTTTCAAAATGCAAAGTTACCACTGACACACTTGCACACATTACTATGAACACATGTATACCCAGGTGGGGACTCCCTTGAAAAGTGGGTAGGGGGGCTCGATGGATGGTTTTGAAAATGACCCTAAAAGGTATGACCACATTTAAAATGACAAATTTTCCAACCATTATATTCTTGTATGATGTTTGATATTTTTCAAAATGAACAAATCTGACCCTAAAAGGTACGGAGTCAGCCAGAAGTCCACCGGAGACCCTAAAAGGTATGCGAGGTCTCACTTTCGAACCTAAAAGGTTTGTTGAGCCCCCCTACCCACTTTTAAAGAGAGTCCCCCCCACCCCGGCCATGTATACAACTAAATAATACCTCTATTTCCTGAATAATATCAATATATCCCAAAAGTTAGGATTTACTATGACTGTTCATTGCTGGTATCTACTAAATGGTTGTTATTTCCAGTGTCTTCATTTGATACTACTGAAGAGGAGCTTACTCTGCGCTCCTTTTGTCGTCTGTTACAAAACCATACCCTCACAACCTCCTTTTCAAGTTCAAGGCTTTCAGCAAGTGAAATTATATCACTTGACGAGGGCCGAGGATGTTGATCAAAGTGATTCTCCAACACACTTTTGACAGTTTTTTCAATAATGGTCCTTCGTTTACGTTTTTTGTAAGAACCATTTTGATTTGGTATAGATCCAATACTACTTGAATCTACAGGTTTGTCATTGTCCTTACATTCAATTTTCCTAAGCCATTTTTCAAGTAAAGGTTTTAGCTTTAACATATTCTTCATGCTTAGTTGTAAAGCTTCAAATCTACATATTGTAGTCTGACTGAGGTTATTATTTGAGATATCTCCCAGTGCAATACCAACATCTGCCTGTGTAAAGCCCAATGCAACTCGACGCTGACGAAATTGTCGGGCAAAATCTGATAGCTCATCAGGTGTTGTTTTACCTATCGGTAGGTCCATTTCCTCACCAGCAAAACTAGAGCTGACCAGTGCTGCATTAATCATATTTTCTTGTCCACCTGCTGGGTTGTTTGGTGTTGTTTCTTGCATGTTACCATGGTTACTCTGAACAAAAATATTCACAACTCCAGAGGGTTCTTGACTTGAAGCTGTTGCTTGCGAAAAGCTTTGTGTTTTGATAGTTAGGGAATCTGTAGTAGACATTCCATGCCAGTTAGAAACATCAACTACCTGCGTAGGCCTGGCAGTCGCTGGAATAATTCTTGTAGCACCAGGTTTGGAAGATGTAATCAGCTGGGTTCCCTGTGGTAGGACTGTCTTGTAAGCTTGCAAAGACCCAGGGTTTCCAACAACAACTAGAGGTCCAGGGTATGGTATAACACCTGGTATAATACCTTGTGAGCCATCAACAGGTATGTATGTAGTGATACCTTGCTGGGTCTGAACATATGGCAATGAAATGTGCTGTTGTTGAACCAATTGCTGTTGAACTGTTTGCTGTAGTAACTGAATCTTTGAAACCTCTGGATATTGGTTGGCATCTCTGTTATCTTGGGAGGTCTCTTTTTCCTCTTGTACACCTACAGCATTTTGGATAGGGGTTTTCAAATCATGTGGGGTTATTGCAGTTTGAAGATAGTCACTGACTGTCATTTTGCTTGTTTGGTGTTCTTGTTGTTGTTCTTTGACAGCTCTGTTTTCACCAGCAGCCTGGATTGATGTGGTATCTATAGTACCTACATTTCCATTGGTACTTACAACTACACATGTTGCTTGTGAAGCTTGCTGACTATCTACCAGTAAGCAACTATCATCCACAGAAGGTGCTTCTTTAAACGACTCAATAACTAGTTTATTTTCTAGGACATTTTCATTTTTGTCAGTAGAGTTTGGTAGAACACTGTTATTTTTGCCTTCTGGTTTATCTAGAGAATCATTGTTATCTTCAACCATTTGTTTATTGCCTTCCATTTTTGTCCTAACCTCTTTCGTTAAAAATCAGAATCCAAGCCTGTGCAAGAACATCAATCAATAACAACACTATTAGAGTTTTCATCGATTCAAAGTGAGGCCTTACGCTACTGTAAAATAATAGATTTAGTAGCTGAGGGTGCCATAGACCGGCGAAAGACAAGATTATCCATTATATTACAGTAGCATAAGTCCTCACTTGAAATTAATTTAAAAACTCACACATGCTACACCATTAAATGATTACAACACTATAAGACCCAAAATGTATACAAAGATCACTGTTTATAGCAACCAAGTCGTGACATTTTTATTAAAAATAAAGTTAATCCTTCCCTTATTCGTCTCGCATCGTTAATTAGAAACAAACTTGTGCACACCATTTTTATCTTTTTGTTTGACATAAAAGATGGACACAAGCCTCAAATTTGTGTTGACTTGGATTGTATTGGTATAGTATTTCGATAACAATTAATCAAAAACAACCTTACCACGATCTATAATAAAAATTATTTAAGAGAGTTACTATAAAATAAAAGATAAATTGAGTCGTTATCAAAAAAAATTCCAGCAAAAATCGAGCACTGAGCAAATTTTTGTCATAATTTTAGTATAATACTTGGCAATTAAATTTTAAAATATGGCAACATTCTTATTAAATTTATGAATTACAAACTCTAATCTTTCGCCTAGAATATCAAATCCAATTTACAATACTACATTCTGGTAATGGTTTTTTAAAATGAATCTTTACTTGAAGAAGCTCTTTTATTTAGTTTATGAATTGTATTTTCATAAATTATAGAAAATATTGAAGTCTAAATAGCGAACGAAGCGAAATGTTTTGAACATTATTAAAGTCGTCTCGATGGTTCGACGCTTCGCTGGTCAATTATTTCCTTGGTTCAAACAAAAATCATTCTCGTGTTGTATAAGATGTGTTTGAGAAAACAGAAGGTTTCATTCAATGAGGTATTCTTCGCTTGAAAACATAAATATACAATGGAAATATTTGCAATTCAAATTCAGTTTTGATCGAGTTTAGTTGATGCAGCCTTCAACTCGACTGAAAGTACAGAAAAGGTACGGCAGCTGAGATTCAATACACGTGTGATTCAAAACCTAAACTTCCTCGAAATTAAATCATCTTTACATTGCTTTTGAGTCAAGAATTCAATATCTTCGATCAAAGGCTTTTATTTTGTGGTATGGATGGGAAACCCTAACAATAAAAGGGTCATGTTAGCGCGTAAACTCGGCGCTCACAAAGTACATTATGACAATAATTAATTTCTCTGATTTCAAATACAGATTTGAAAAACGATCTAAAACGCCCAGAAATTTCGTTTTTTTTACTAAAACGAAGCCATAAAATCCAAAATTGTACTCACCACTCATTCACAGACGCAGTTCCACTTTTACATTGGGTTGAATTGAAGCGAAAACCAGACTAAAATTGGATAAAGAAAACTGAAAGTAAACATGGAGAAAGTGTGTGCGCAGAGAGAATTGCGCGGGAACCCTTTCACGTGACTTGGGCTTCTTTTTATGGCATTGTTGATATAATAGTCTACAATACACCCTATCTTATTACGAGTTTTTTAACAATGCTTTCCTTTCTACTGTGTCCCTTTTTCACGACATACTAACGAATCTCACACCAAGGAACATAGCAAGATTTGATTTTATTAGGTAAAAGTTCGGCCTTAGCTGGAGATTGCTTTTTGATTTAGACAATCCAAAGCTGGCAACCAGAGTTATCTTGAACTGTCGTTGTCTAGTCGTCAGTTTTAAGTAGGTCTCAAATTAACGCTATTTTTTTAACACAATATTTTTTCTTTTGCGTCTCGTAAGACAAAATGGACTCTGGAAAGGAAAGCCGAGCATTTTACATGTACAGAGTGCGTTATACTGAGATCTGAAGAAAAATGCATAGCAAGCCACCTAAGAACTAAAAAGTATATTAGGGAGAAGTGAAGAGTAGATCAGGGGAAAAGAAAAACAGTTGATGAGAGGATAGAGAGAAGTGGAATGAAATAAAGTAGTGTTGGTTGTTGTTGCTTTTTAGACTTTGGTTTTCAAACTGGCCAGCTTTTATTTCAGCTTTGATCAATAATAAAACAAACTGCGGAAGGGACGGAGTCAAAGGCTCATGTAATGTGGCCTGAGAAAACTCTGGTTTCTAATGAAAACAATACCGGGGCCGACTATGGACCTTATGCAAAAAGTGACCCCTATAATTTGTATAACTCAAATCTGAGAAAGCTGATTAAAAATGGCGGGAACTAAGCTTCGCACGAAAAAGACTCAAAAGATAAAACAAACAAAACTACAAAAGGAATTTTCTCAGGACACCTACTTGGCGCGAATATACTTCGTACATTTCCATATAGAGAATGCCGACGTAGTAAAAAATTTCAGATGAATTCTAGAGCTGAAAAAGTACAAGTCGTAAGAGTTCAATCATGCTTTTTGCTAGAGATTTATATTCGCGTGCACGTTTAACAGTCATTCATACTAATCATTCGCTAGCCTGCGTTCTGCCGAACTAAATAACTGTTAAGAAAAGTCCGCAGACTGCACGCAGGCTAATTATTCGCCAAAGGCGAAGTGAATATCAGGGAGACAAAGGTTTTTTTTCAAACTTTATTCATCTTTATTTATCAAGCGGCACACATCGACAAACGCACGACGGGTCCTGAAGGGGGGTAACCAATCTTATTTTCCAGGCCATTTTTTTCCAAATCCCACTTTTTATGTCCACATTCCATTCCCAATAGCAGAATTCAGAAAAAATCCCAGGGTCATACATACCTACCCTATTCTCTTCGCATCCGCATCATTATGACTTCTGGACCCAACAAAACTCCCCATGCATTGAATTCCTAGAGGAATCGTTCGGGAGAACAAAACAACAGTCCGTCTTTTCTTATGCAAAAAAAAAAAAAAAAAAAAAAAAAAAAAAATGATCCAGGGATATGGGTTTATTCTTCAAATAA